GTGAGAAGGTTCAGAAGGTAGTTTTTCATTTAATAAGTATTTGGTGCTGTATCAGTGAGTGTTGAGGAAATGGTTGCACATCGATGAATTGGTGTCAGTGATGGCATCAGTAGGGGATTATGAATCCAGGCCAGAACTGATTCAATGGCCCTACTTTTATGAGAGATAGGCTAACTTACTGAGCAAATTCTTAAGCGAAATTCGTTTGCGCTGGAAACAGTGACGGACGGACTTAGTGACTTCACTGTGTTAAGGTAAAGAAGACTCAGATCTTGCTAGAGATATAACTGATGAAGATTTAATACACTAGACTCATGTATAAAAAATCATCAGGACGAATTGGAGGAGAAGAACTTGCTGTGGTAACCTTGAAGGAGAAGAGTGTTAAAAGTATTGTACTATTGTTTGCAGCTACTTCAAATTATTGTTTTTCGTCTATAATTTTAAAACACTCACCTCAGTAAACCGCAATGTATAGTTTTTCACTTTACCATTCAACTAACAGTGCTAAAATTCTTCCAGTATATTCGAATTATTTATTTTGTTCAGGGTGGTTTATTGTCAGTACTCCGTCGCATAACTGGTTTTTTAAAGTTAAGCCTCATCTAGTTCGTAGCTGTGCTCTGTTCGATGGATGCAACTTCAAGCAACGGAGTGGAGAGTTTTAAAACGTTTACAGGTTTCCTGTTTTTCACTATAAATACTTTGTAATAAAATTTTTTAATATTGAAATGTGCTATTGGAGTTTATTTAGGTTTAAGTTGCGTGCTTAAGCCTTGTGCATCTTATTCTCTAGGATTTGTTTTGTGTTGCATTTGGACATTTTCTTCATTCTTTACTTTACAGAGCTTTGTAAGTAACTTGTAAAAGTCTTCAGTTTTTTAAGGCTGTCAGGATGATGCCGAGGCCAGGCAGCTTATTGAAGCTTGCAGTGGAAACATTGAGGCGGCAGTTGATCTGTTTTTTCAACAGAAGGCCTCTTCGTCTAATGGGTGTTCGGAACCTTCAACTTCTCGCCATCGAATAGCTCACCATCCTAAAAGTAACCAGTACAATCTAAGGCGTTCAACAAGAAGTTCTTCAAATCCTAGTTTCAGTAAAAAAGATCAAGATGATGTGTTAGTTTTGATGTCTTTTAGCTGTTAAGAAAAATTTAAGTATATTTTTTCAAAATAACTTACGGTAAAAGTTTTTCATTTATACTAATTTGGCATTTCTAGAAAGTAGTGGCTATTAATAGGTTATGAAGAAATTAATTTAATTTAGAATTTACTTTTAGATTGAGGGTTAAAAGCCGAAAAAGGTTTTTATTTATTGAACATGTGAACTTCAACTATCAATGAGTTTGATAAGCGCTCTTTATTAGAGGGCTTGCTAGAAAGATGGTTTAGAACATTCGGTTTATTTTTAACTTTTTCGACGTACCGTTATTTTAATGAAACTACAGATCGCTACTGGTATCACTCATTTCACAGTTTTATACATTTAATTGCCTTTTTAGCGTTATGATAGATGAAGATTATGTTCGGCCTCCAATGAAATCAGTTCGCGGTGCCATCGTTGAGCAGTCATTTCAAGAGCAGTACCGTATGTTTATTTGATATTTGCTTCCTTGGATTTAGAGTTTTCAAAAAATGGCATTTTAAATTTATGATTTACTTTCTGTTAAAAATGAGCTTTGGTTTATTTTCACTATAAACGTGTTTAAATATTTTACAGTTTTTTAGAACGTCCAAGGAGGATACAAACAAACTCGGTTTTTGAATCTTTTCGAGATTATCACCCTGACCAAGGTTTTTTCTAATATCTTTAAGTCATTTCTCGACCAACTCTGATGGCGCTTTTTAATGTTTCATAAAAGTGTTTTTTTGGTTTTATTTGTAGGTATATATATTTTTGTTTTCATTTTTTTGGTACCTCTTGTGGAAACTGAATTTTATTGAGTAGCCTTCAGAACAGAGCTCATCAGGTCGGGGTTTGAATGGTGTTGCGGCTAGAAGAAGTGCTCTACAGAATCTTTTCAAACCACCATATGATATTCTTTTTTCCGGCAGTTGGGAAGAGGTAAGTCAAATTGCTACTGTAAAACTAGTTTTCTTAGTAACTAATCATCGATCACTATAGCGGTTTTTTGAGGCCCGTGCTGAAGCGCAAAGACTTTCGTTGTGGTTACTCGTGAATGTTCAGAACGTTCAAGAGTTTGCTTGTCAGGCTCTTAATCGAGACGTGTGGTCGAATATAAGTGTTAAAGAAATAATCAAATCTAACTTTGTCTTTTGGCAAGTATGTTTTTCCAGTGCAATTATTTCTTCTACTTTTCCTTATCATTTTTAAGTGATGAACGAAGTTAATTTTTTTCTTAGTATTACTAATTGGACTACCTACTTCGCGCAGTGAAAAATTTGTTCTCGGTTAGGTTTACCATGACTCTGCCGACGGTGTTAGGGTCGGGAATTACTATCGTGTTCTCTCATACCCGGCAATATTCGCAATTGATCCTAGAACCGGTGAACTCATAGAAAATTTTAGAGCAGTCGACCCTGTAGCGTTTTGTGATCAGAGTAATGTTCATTACTTTTTGATTCTTTCTTCATTTATGTTACTCATATCTGTGTTACCTTAGTATTAATATTTTTGTTGTCAAGTTGGGACTTTTCTGAGCGCGAATCCTGATTTTGCGACGAGAGATCATCGAATTACCAGTGCTGCTGCATCGTTGAATGCAAATAATAGTGAACGTAGTAGGTCAAGCAATGAGGTAACTGTTGTGTTCGTGATTACACTCTGAGTGGTTGTAAATGCCGATTTATACTTGTTTTTTACTTATTCTCTCAGGCCTTTCTTCTTTTGCTACAGGGTAGCAAGGCAGTATAGAACTGATTTCATTATGCAAATATTTAAGGACGAAGATATGCCTCAATGTTCCAGTGGTGCTGGGAGGAAACGACCGTTTAGGGCAGAGGAGGTAACTTCTTCTCAAGCACAAGAGGAAGTTTTCAAGAAAGCGCGGAAAGGTATCTGGTTTGTTTGCTTGATGGCGAGTACAATGTTGTCAAGATATTTTTATAAAATCTGTATATTTTTTTTTGTCTAGGGTGCATTTTGTGGAAGATGTGCACAAGCTTTTTCCAGTGTAATTCGCTTGACGGAAGAACTCATTACTGTTTTGTCTAAAATTAACTAGTAATTGTGTTTTGCTAGACGCTTATTTTTGTTTTTTAGGTGACCTCGACGTTGACGAAATTTTGGACAGAGGAAACAGGCTGACAACTGTAGACTCAGACGAATGGCTTAAACACTTAGGTTATCCTGACGGAAAAGGGCAGACATTGTCTATTGTTCTAAAGTTCCCTGACGGTTTAAGAAAGCGAATTGATGTTGAAGACACAACTACTCTAAAAGTGAGAAAGCTTCTGTTTTTCAAAGTTTTAGATTTCCCGATTATGTGTTCTGTACCTACTTTGCGCAACTTTTTGGGAATTACTGGTTTGTTTATTTCAGGAAGTACTATTTGAGATCTAACTTGAGTCTGTTCTAGGTATAAGACAAAAATTTTACGTTTATTAATTTCTGAGGGATTAACTAACGTTGTAGCGTGACTAACAGAGGTGATGCTTTCGCAACTTAACGATTTTTTAGGCAGTATTCTTGTTGGCTGCTGGGCTTGGTTATGGCCAACACGATCATATGTTGACTTTATTCTACCCAAAACGCGAATATTTATTTGAAAATGCAGAACATACTATGCGAGAACTTGGTTTCAACCAACAGGAAGTGATTCACGTTGAAAGAAAGTGACCTGTAGAAAGTTACGCTTTGGCTTTCTTTTAGAACAATCCTTGGGCTTTCTTTTGACAGATTACTAAGCGGGTATTTTAAATTTTCAAATTTATCTTTACTAAATGGTTTGGGATTTTTGTCACCACGAGGTTTCATTTTCTTTTTTAGGAAGATTAACACATTTCAGTATTTGAAGCTGTGACACCATACAACTTGGTGACGGCCATTTTGCATTACTTACCTTTGTGCTTTGCTGTACTGTTACAGACATTTGAACTAAATTGTCACTTTGTAATCTTTTTGTATCTATTCTCTTCTATTTTTGATTTTAGGAGCTTATTTTTGCTCCGCTTTCTTACACTTATTTGAGAGCGAAATTGTCAAAGAATGGGAAAGATTTTTCCTGTTTTAAATTACTTGTCTTACTCAAATGGTGTTGTATGTGATGAAGAAGATAAATAAATTGTATTTTTGGGTTTACTACAGCTATAATTTAAAGACTTTCAAAAGTTGGTGGTTTTTTTACAGCTAGTAGTGTTTTTTGCAGTGTGCTTCTTACTTCATGAAAAATAGTTGAGAAATTGGCTGTAGTGGATTTCAAAATTTCTAAGAGTGTAGTGAAGTCGTTGCAGTTCATATGGTACAAGTGGTTTGTTGCACGGAAAAGATGAGTTCTGAGAAGGGTGTGGGCGTACTTTCTTAAGATTAGGAATTGAAGCTTCTGGTTGGTATTTCAACAAACAGTGTTGGATGCTCTGAGTCAATACTAAATGCTGGTTTGGTTAGGTGCGACATTCTTTGGAAGAACAGGTTCAAAAGGTTTTCTGATTTTTAGTTTATAGATCTGCTGAAGAAAAGATATTATCCGTAATTCATTGCATTAGTTTCAGTTCATTTGCTAAAATGGTGTAAGTGTGTCGTGATATATTGCTGAAACAATTTTTTGAGGAAGTAAAATAGGATTTTAATTTGCACGACTGTTCTACCACGTTTATAGTAACTGATACATTAATTTCATATCTTTTGTCAACGTTGCTTCTTCTGCTGAGGTAGTTTTCTTGAAGGCTTCATAAATGCTACGGATAAACAACCTAAGTGGTGTTTGGGAACTCCTGATGGGACTCATAGAAATCTTACACTGACAATACGCAAATATTAAAAACAAGTCGTGCTATAGTAAAGTTCTGCACTAAATTTTGTGCTTAATGGTAATTTTTTTTCATTCACTGTATTTCTTAATGAGGAAAAAGCACTTTATAGCAGTGAATAGTTACGTGTTTTTGATTTGCAACAGCTTTACTCCTGTTAACAAAAAATTTTACTTTCGAAGATTGATATCTTGTGCCCATTTATTCTGATGCTTAAAATTCAAATCTGTATTAGGCTTCTTTTTGCTCATTTTTACATTTCTAGGACCTGCCTAGTGGACGAAATTTCATGATAGACGATTACCTGACTACTTATAGTAAGAGATTTCTTAGGTGACCTCATATTTCTTTTAGACTCATTTTATCCAAAAGCGCAAAGGCTAATTTTGCCGTTGTTTGTGGCATCTCTGCAGTTATAGTTTCAATTTCTAAATGTACGCCCTGTATAAAGAAAATGAAAAATGAGGCAGATGGATCGCAAGGGGCAAATACATAGAATTTCTATCTACCTCCTTTCATTTTCCACTAAAACAGTTTTAGTGATAAGGTCGGTCCATGTTTCTTTTCCAAGATCCCAACTAATGCCGTTACGGAACAACACGGTTATTGTCTGAAATGTATTCAAGCCGACTGGCATGTAACTAGAAGTCGGTGAAGGAATTTATTGTTTTTCCAAAAGTTTCTTTTTTTGAACTGTGTGATTTGTTTGTTACACCTTTGAAATCGAAGACATACCTTACTGTAAGGGTCAATTGTAACTTTTTGTCCTCCATGGCCAGTGTGCGTTAAGAGGTAGGCCTAAAACAGGGTTTAGAAGCATTAAATATTGTCGATATGCTAAAAACATTTTAAAGAACTTTTTAAAAAACTGGAATTGTATAGAGAAGCACTTTTGATGTTACTTTAAATAATGCCTGCTCTTCCCATAAAATTCTTATATCATTTCATTTTAATGAATCTTCAGCGGCTTCCATATATTATATCGAAAGGTTCGCATTGTCTTTTTTAGGGAACTCTCACATATTCCATTTGATCAGAGTCTTGAAGACCAGGATTCAACAATTTGTTCGGAAGAAATTTTTGATGCATTTTTACTTCAGTTTGTCTTCAGCCGGGAGTTGGCCGAATTGCGTTAGACAACAGTTTTTATTGATCAAGTATTTTGTTTTCATGTTTGAGTTAGATGACATTCTGGTCTTTGGAAGTGATTTAGATATTAAGAAGTTGCATATTATCAGACAGTATAAAAAGTCTTTGGTCATTTCTGAAGAACGCGAGGCTTTGCATTGAGGAGCCTGTAAAACTGCTTCGTAAAGTTTAATTTTTTTTTTT